GCAAATTCGACATAATGTCACACAAACCTCCCAAAAATGGGCTGGACAAAAGTATTGGCACCCTTTCACAACTGCGGATAAATAAGAATGTTACAAGCATGTGATGCTCCTGTAAACTCACCTGGGGCAAGTAACAGGTGTGGGCAATATAGAAATCACACCTGAAAGCAGATAAAAAGGAGAGACGTTCACTTAACCTTTGCATTGTGTGTCTGTCTGTGCCACACTAAGCATGGACAACAGAAAGAGGAGACGAGAACTGTCTGAGGACCTGAGAACCAAAATTGTGGCAAAATATCAACAATCTCAAGGTTACAAGTCCATCTCCAGAGAACTAGATTTGCCTTTGTCCACAGTGCGCAACATTATCAAGAAAGTTTGCAAAGAACCCATGGCACTGTAGCTAATCTCCCTGGTTTGTAGCTAATCTCCCTGGTCGTGGACGGATGAGGAAAATTGATGAAAGATTGCAACGCAGAATAGTCCGGATGGTGGATAAGCAGCCCCAAACATGTTCCAAAGACATTCAAGCTGTCCTGCAGGCAGGGTTCAGGGAGCATCAGTGTCAGCGCGAACTATCCGTCGACATTTTTAAATGAAATGAAACGCTATGGCAGGAGACCCAGGAGGACCCCACTGCTGACACAGAGACATAAAAAAAGCAAGACTACAGTTTGCCAAAATGTACTTGAGTAAGCCAAAAGCCTTCTGGGAAAACGTCTTGTGGACAGATGAGACCAAGATAGAGCTTTTCGGTTAAAGCACATCATTCTACTGTTTACCGAAAACGGAATGAGGCCTACAAAGAACAAAAACACAGTACCTACGGTAAAATATGGTGGAGGTTCAATGATGTTTTGGGGTTTTTTTGCTGCCTGGCACTGGGTGCCTTGACCTGTGTTTTTAAGGGCATCATGAAATCTGAGGATTACCAAAGGATTTTGGGTCGCACTGTAGGGGACCCAGTGTCAGAAAGCTGGGTTTGCGTCCAAGATCCTGGGTCTTCCAGCAGGACAATGACCCCCAAACATACGTCAAAAAGCACTCAGAAATGGATGGCAAAGAAGCGCTGGAGAGTTCTGAAAGTGGCCAGCAATGAGCCCAGATCTAAATCCCATTGAACACCTTGTGGAGAGATCTTAAAATTGCTGTTGGGAAAAGGTTTGTTTTCCAATAAGAGAGACCTGGAGCTTTTTGCAAAGGAAGAGTGGTCCAAAATTCCGGGTGAGAGGTGTCAGAAGCTTATTGATGGTTATAGGAAGCGACTGATTTCAGTTTGTTTTCCAAAGGGTGTGCAACCAAATATTAAGTTAAGGGTGCCAATACTTTTGTCCAGCCATTTTTGGGGTTTTTTGGTGACATATATGTATGTATATATATGTGATTTTGTGTGTGTATATTTTATGTATTATATATATAATATGTGTGTGTTGTTGTGTGTGTGTATATGTTGTGTGTGTGTGTGGTATATGTTTATGGTGTATATATATGTATATGTGTGTTTTGTGTGTATATGTATGTGTATTATATATATATGTGTGTGTGTGTGTATGTGTGATTTATATATATATATTATATATAATATATATATATATATGAGCTGCGAATAACAGCCTGTATCTCCGCGCTAAAGTGATGGTGAAAATAACACATAAATTAAATATAGTCTAACACAGCAGATGTTTTAAATAACTAATAAATCAATATAAAGTGGCTTGAAAGATGCACATAAAGAGCACTCTGTCATACTAGGTTACCCTCAAAAAGGGTCATAGAGAAACCAATATCAGATCAAACAATACATAAAGGAAATAATACAGAAACTTCCACCAAAGTGAAAAATTGTGCTAATCACTGCAGAATCACATTGATTGGTGGATTGAGCTACCTTTAAAGAAATATTACATCACTGAAATGAACTGAACTTTTTCAAAACATTTCACACGTTGTTCTTGCTGTGCAGGTGGTTGGTTTATTCAAGACAGAAAGCAATGTATCCAAAGCCTCAAGACGGGAAGATGGAGAGTCTGAGTCCAATTCTGTGGAGTCTCTGGGCTTCTGCAATGTGTAAGCGTCGTTGTACACTATTTACCATATTTTTTATTAGGCTATACATTTGTGTCACTGAGATATTAGCTGGTAGAATTTTAAGAAGCGTTGAGTACATGGACTTGCATACATATGGGCCCCCATTGCTTGTAGAAAATGTTTAAAGCTTTCAGACCCGAATGCACACTGTCTGCATTTGGGGTTGTGCACCAGTTCCTGTACACCTGTCTGTGCAGCCACTGCATCTGCTTTCCCTCACGTAGGATGTTGGCACGTAGCTCAGGGCAGATGCAAATGTAAACGCCTGTCGTGCATGCAGCGCGGGTTCCAGCACCTGCCTGAATGAAGCCTCAAGCACAACTCCAGTACTTTGACCCACCACCCATTTCCAGCCACCCTCTTAAGCCCTTTCCCCCCCCCCAGGTGTACATATGTTTTTCCTGCATTCTTCTAGCTGGTCTGGTAACATCTTGGCTACTTTTTTTTTTGTTTTGTTTCTTCCTCCAGGAGTGGGCATTCTTCTAGGACTGAGCAAAGCTCACAAAATGACTAGGGAGCACTGGTCAGTGCTAGAGTACTGTGAGCCCAGTCTGCTTGATAATGTGCCCAAGGAGGGTGAGTGGAGAGCAGGCTGGGCTCGTGGGAAATGGACAGAATATTACTTTTTTCCCCAAAAAGGACCACAGGCACATAATCAGAGGAAGCCAAGGTGGCCAGCACTGGCATCCTACTGTGTTTTTGGAGCAGCAGTACTGTCATTCCTAAAACAGGAGGTGTTCTGTGGTTCACAGAGAGAGGTAGAAACAATGGGGTTGATTTACTAAATCTGGAGAGTGCCAAATCTGGTGCAGCTGTGCATGGTAGCGAATCACTTTAACTTCAGTTTACTCAATTAGGCTTTAACAAAAAACAGGAAGCTGATTGGTTTCAATGCAGAGCTGCACCACATTTTGCGCACTCCAGTTTTAGTAAATCAACCCCAATATATTTATTGTATTTATTTCAGGTACTTCTATAGCGCCGTCAATTTACGCAGTGCTTTACATATATATTGTACATTCACATCAGTCCCTGACCCTCAAGGGGTGTACAATCTAAGGTCCCTAACTCACATTCATACATACACATACTAGGGACAATTTAGACAGGAGCCAATTAACCTACCAGCATGTCTTTGAAGTGTTGGAGGAAACTGGAGTACCCGGAGGAAACCCACGCAGGCACAGGGAGAACATGCAAACTCCAGGCAGGTGGTGCCGTGGTTGGGATTTGAACCAACGACCCTAGTACTGCCAGGCGGAAGTGCTAACCATTTAGCCATTGTGCTGCCCCAATATATTAGATAACTTCCTGTTCTCTCTGCTTGTGCTGAACGTTATCCACTCGCAAGATTTCTGCCTGCAATGACAGGTGTTCTTTTAAATTTGACAGGCCAAAAGGAAGCAAGTAAGAAAAGTTTTTTGGGTATACATATACTTTAAATGGGCCATCAGTTACCCCCTCGTGCATTACTGTGATAGAAAAGCATTTATTGAGAATGACAAAAGTGTTTACTTACAAACCAAGAGTCCTAAATAAAAGCAAGGAACCAATGTGACAGTCCCAGCAAGTGGTGGTCTTGCGACAGGGAGTGCTAACGCGTTTCAGGAGACGAGCTCTCTTTTTCAGAGCTGAGGAAGGGAGCTCGTCTTCCGAAACGTGTTAGCACACCCTGGTTTCAGGAGACGAGCTCCCAGCAAGTGGTGGCCTTGCAACAGGGAGTGCTAATGGGTTTCAGGAGACGAGCTCTCTTTTTCAGAGCTGAAGAATGGAGCTAGTCTTCCGAAACACATTATCACACCCTAGTTTCGGGAGACGAGCTCCCTTCCTCAGAGCTGAGGAAGGGAACTAGTCTCCCGAAACGCGTTAGCACACCCTGTCGCAAGACCACCACTTGTTGGGACTGTCACATTGGTTCCTTGCTCAATAAATAATTTTTTATTACAGTAATACACGAGGAGAGTACACCATTTTTTGCTCTTTTCCAGTACCATCAAGATTCGCAGATCTTTTGAGGAATGCACCTCATTGAGTGACCGTTACCGTGTCCCTGGGACGTTTATGGACCTGAGCGCTGGTTTTGCTTTTCCTTCTTGTGTTAACAGTTACCTTTGGTCTATATGCCAGTGTGAAAGGGAATTACTTTCCTAGTTTCCTATATCTTTTTGGCCTATTGGCTCAGTATGCTGTTTGGGTCTTGGTGTTTAGAGGCACATGGAACCAAGAAATTTAAACCTAGCTCTCAGCATCCACTTGTAAGTTCCATTGGATTCTGTTTCATTGGATTTGACTTAAGGTTTTAGTTTTGCAATAACTGATTTAATGTGAATGTGTGGAGCCTCCTCTCTTCTATTTTTATTTGTTCTTCCAGGTTGCCCCTGGCAGCAGTCGGGTACCTGGATGGCACTCTGGCAATTTACGATATTTCAGCACAGGCCTTGAGACACCGGTGTCAGCATGAGGTATGTGAGCTGAATCTCAGCCATCTTGTTCTTTGTATTGAATAAGGGCAGACATAAGGTGTTGTTATAAAGAGCTGGGGATCCTAGAAAGGGGGAAGTCTAACTTCAAAATATGGGCAAAACTCTTCTAACCTGCAGTTCAGATTCTTATTGGTAGCTTGTCTATTCCTACCACCTTCTGTACATTCATACTACTATGCTGTGATGGGCTGCTTTATTGGCAAATAGGTATTTGTGGGAAGGGGCATGCAAGCTTTGACATTTGTGGGCGTTTTTTGTTTTTTTTTACATAGTTACGTTTGTCCATCAGCTTCATCCAAACCATCCCGGAAACCCTACAGCTTTAATGCTGAACTTTGGGTTTTTTTTTTTGCTTTTTTATTTGGACCATTGAGCTGCCTGTAGTTGGATGGAAATTCGGCCTTTTCAACAGACTGGTAGAATTTTGATCCATCTATGGCCATTTCTGTTTGTTGATCTAATGATCGGCTTCTATCAACCAGGACTGTTTGAGAACTTTTGTCGATTGGCTGGCTGTCAGAATACTTTGGCACAGTGGGGATTCCTTCATCTACCATGTGTATGTGGATTGAGGAATCCATTCATGCATACAAGACCTTCTCTGATTGGACGGGGCGAAGGAGGACCCGGTCTTCACCTCATTCAGTGAGAGACTATCTTGTTAGCATTTAGGGAAAATAAGAGACCTTCTCTGAATGGCAGAGTTGCCAAGCGCGTGACCCCCTTGTGTTCAGTTTAACAGATGGCAAGCCGCTCCAGCAGCACCCACATGAGGCCAGCCTTGATTGTAGGTAGCACAGGCCACTACAGTGCATTCATCCCACATCTCTCCAAAAGTGAGATGTGAAGAATCATACCTGTTTCACATGTACATTGCAAAGGGCCGTTTGCCTGCATGGGACACACAAGTGTGCCATGCAGAACCTCATGCAGGCAGTCCCATTCATGTCTTTTTGGAGAAGCGACTGCATGGTGTCCCTTCCTTCCAATCAGCTCTCATAGTTTTCACTGAGCTCTGCAGAGTGTAACTTCAGCTCTCCTCCCCCCTTTTCTGAAAGCTCAGACAATCTTTATAAATTATGCACTTTGAATAGATGAAGAGAAGACTGCGGATAAACAGGTACAACCTATATAGGATGATTTGTTTCATCTCTGTGTATCGCCTGAGGCCAGACTCATCACTGGGCATATGTAAGAGAGTACACCCATGTGAATGAAGCCTTGGATGTAACCAAGCTGGACCAATGTAAAAAAAAAAAAAAAAAAAAGGGGGGGGGGGGGCTACAGTTATGCTTTAAAAAAACGGGTCGTTTACAACCGTTGCCAATTATGATGTAGTATCTTGATGGCAGGAAATTAGATTTCATTTAAATAGGAAAAAGGAACCGGCTTTGTTATCAGATCTTGATTTACATTTTATACACCATGTCTAAAACACTTCTGGGGTGTCGTCTTTTGTGTCCTGGCTAATCATATTTATTCTGTTGGCTCAGACACTTCATCCTCCTCCGTGTCCTGTGCGCCATCTTCCTCCTTCACAGTCTATGAACTATAGATAAACCGATGTTTAATTCCTTGTGTTACATTTTCCAGACCTTCTGCGTGTTTTTTTTTTTTCTTTAACTTTCAAGAGGACAATGGTGACCTCAGATTTGCAAGACTTCGTGTTTTATGATTTAATCCAGCCTGACGGCCATAACCCCAGATTTACATAGTCCTGTATTATGTGAATTTGCTTTTATGCTTTTTGTCTGCCTGCGTGTGGTACATTGTTAAATGTTTTCCTTGTTTTATAATGTACAAACCTATAAAACACAGATCCCTAGCTAACCAAATATACTCCTAGATGATGGCATTGTTTCAAAGTATATTTAAAAGTCAAATAGGCATAGATAAAAGTGTGATAAAGACGTGACATAGATCTATCCTTCATGTGTCATGGAAATTAGTTTAATGTTCGTTTTGGATAGAATGGTGAGAGATTAGAGTCCCTGTCAGGTTTTTTTTTTTTTTTTTTTATATTTTTGTCTCTGCTGGGCAGATTCACCCTATATATCTTGGGGACCATTGTCACTGGGACTGAAAGTGATAAGAAATCCAAGTGAAAGTGGTTGTAAACCTCAAACATGAAATATGAACAAAGCATATCCTTCTATAATGTGTACTTGTCTTGATTAAGAGCACTAAGACCCCATTCATGCTTGTGCAACTTGGACTGTGACTTTGGACATCAAAGTCACGTGATAAGTCATACCCCAAGTTTTCATTCATATATGATTGACTTACAGTTGCAGCGACTTCATAGTAGTTCATGCACTACTTTGGTCCGAATTTCATGCAACTTGGGGGCCATTGACTTCAATGTCAACCCTCAAAAGTTGCATGAAAGTCATACCTGAATGTTTTACATTCCCATCAAAGTTGTCAGTTGCATCATTGTTGCACTCCAAAGCCACGCAACTTTGGAGTCATACCAGTGTGAATGGAGTCATTTCTGCCTGCTGCCTCATTCCTTGGCTGTTGGCATGAATCCCTTATGAGAAGTTTACCTGACACCAGTAAGAAAAAAAAATGGTGATGGGAGGCCTGCTGCCTCGTTCCTCAGCTCTGTTCCTGTGTGAAGGGGGTGGGTCCTTTCCCCTTCTCCTTTCCTTTCCTTTCCCCTCCCCTTCCTTCTCCTTTCTCCTTCCTTCCTTTCCTTTCCTTTCCTTCTCCTTTCCCCCTTTCCCTTCCTTTCCTTTCCCCTTCCTTTCCTTTCCCCTTCTCCCTTTCCCCCTTCTCCTTTCCTTCTTCCTTTCCTTTCCCCTTCTCCTTTCCTTTCCCCTTCTCCTTTCCTTTCCCCTTCTCCTTTCCTTTCCCCTTCTCCTTCTCCTTTCCCCTTCTCCTTCTCCTTTCCCCTTCTCCTTCTCCTTTCCCCTTCTCCTTCTCCTTTCCCCCTTCTCCTTTCCCCTTTCCCCCTTTCCCCTTTCCTTCCCCTTCTTTCCTTCTCCTTCCCTTTCCCCTTCTCCTTCTCCTTTCCCCTTCTCCTTTCCCCTTCTCCTTTCCCCTTCTCCTTTCCCTTTCCCCTTCTCCTTTCCCCTTCTCCTTTCCCCTTCTCCTTTCCCCCCTTCTCCTTTCCCCTCCTTCTCCTTTCCCCTTCTCCTTTCCCCTTTCTCCTTTCCCCTTCCCCTTCTCCTTTCCCCTTCCCCTTCTCCTTTCCCCTTCTCCTTCTCCTTTCCTCTTCTCCTTCTCCTTTCCTCTTCTCCTTCTCCTTTCCTCTTCTCCTTCTCCTTTCCTTCTCTCTTTCTCCTTCTCCTTCTCCTTCTCCTTTCCCCTTCTCCTTTCCTCTTCTCCTTCTCCTTTTCCTTGCCTCTTCTCTCTTCTCCTTTCCTTCTCCTTTCCTTTCCTCTTCAGTGCCCTGATAAGTGCCCATCAGTGCCTCCTATCCATGCCACCTCATCAGTGCTCATCAATGCCGCCTATCCATGCCCATTAGTGCTGCCTATCCATGCCCATTAGTGCTGCCTATCCATGCCACCTCATCAGTGCCCACCAGTGCTGCCTATCCTTGCCCATCAGTGCAGCCTCATCAACGCACATCAGTGAAGGAGAAAAACTGCTCCTTTTTTTTTTTTTTTTTTTTTTTGTTTATAGCTCAAAAAATAAAACCTCCAGCGGCGATTAAATACCACCAAAAGAACGCTCTATTTGTGTGAAAAAATGATAAAAATTTCATATGTGTACAATGTTGCATGACCGCACAATTGTCATTCAAAATACGACAGCGCTGAAAGCTAAAAATTGTCCTGGGCAGGAAGGGGGTGTAAGTTTCCGGTAGGCAAGTGGTTAAGAGTGAAGCTCTGCTTTATTATTTTCCACTGAAGCTTTGGCTGTAAAGTTTGGTCCATGTCCTCTCCCAATCCTGCTGTTTTGACAGTGTAGAGGTTCAGGGCACTGCTGAGGTCCTTGTTTTGCCTTCCTGTAAGCTAGCCCCCTGTTCTAGACTGACAGCATTTAGCACTGCAGCTGAGCCAGACCAGAATGCTTCCTTCCCGGAGTCTGAATTCTGTGCTGTAAACCTTTGGAATGGTCTGTGGTTTTGGAATGGGTTGTCCAACTAACTAGGTTTGATGGCCAAGTGTCTACTTTTATCCATATCGTGTGTGTGCGTCTACATGAAGGATGACTATAATCGGTGACCTCTGTCCTGTGTGTTGTCTCCAGTCCGGTATTGTACAGCTCCTCTGGGAAGACAACTCTCCGGTGGTGTACACATGCAGCCTGGACGGGGCCGTCAGACTCTGGGATTCCCGCTCAGGAAAAATGATCAGCGAATACTGCGGGCACACGGAGGAAATTCTTGACTTTGCTCTTAACAAGTGAGTATTTCTCCCACGATTTAATTCTCAAGTTCTTTCACTGATCGCAAAATCATAGTTTGAACAGCCACAGAAAGCCAGAAAGGATCGCTCAGATCGGGACCCATATCGTACCTGGAAAAAAGGTCTCCAGGCCTACAGTGACTCCACACTCGCATAGCATATAGTATCCAGTAAGATCCAGCCGGAAACTCTGTATCATCCAAATGTAATGAAGTGTATTGGGTACAGGGGCGGACTGACAACTCATGGGGCCCCCGGGCAATAGGGTATTATGGGGCCCCTGTGTCCTTGCCCAAACTCAAAAAAGCCTATGAAAAAGGTACTAGGGGCATCTCATGGGGCCCCCTACTGACCCTGGGCCCTCGGACAGTGCCCGAGTTTCCAAATGGTCAGTCCGCCCCTGATTGGGTACATGGTCAGTACGGCATGAACAGACTAATGTGTTTCAGCGCTCGGGCCTTAGTCAAATGTATTCATGCCGTACTGAATATGTAGTCAATCTTCATTACATTTGGATACTACCGAGTGGGATCTGTATACTGTATTTTATGGGAATGTTTGGCAGGCAGACCTGACCCTTGCCAAGTGCCATTTGGGAATTTTTTTTTTTTTTTTTTCAAACCTTTTTTTTCCTGTCTACTCAGTCCACAACTTACACTTGTGTAAGTGACTCTTCCCTTGTTGGATGCTTCTATCTGTGGTTTCAGCAAGAGCCAACGTGCCTCAAAAGAATAATTTCTGGGGTGCTGTCTCTTAAGCTAGCCCATAGTGCTCTGGGAATCCCTTGTCTATTAAAGGATAAGTAGGACCAAAGCTTTGATGTCACTCAGCTGGTCCAGAATTATGGGATGTTGGGATCCACCCAGATGCCTGACTGGCAGCTGGCTCAGCTTTTCAGTGTGCCACTGAGAGCCTAAGCCAGCCACTCCCAACCCTTCCACAGCCCAACACTCCAGTGAGTGCTGGAAGAGCAGAGAGTCCGAGACTGACAGTCACTCCTGTCTACTCAGTCCACAACTTACACTTGTGTAAGTGACTCTTCCCTTGTTGGATGCTTCTATCTGTGGTTTCAGCAAGAGCCAACGTGCCTCAAAGAATAATTTCTGGTGTGCTGTCTCTTACGCTAACCCATAGTGCTCTGGGAATCCCTGGTCTATTAAAGGAGAAGTAGGACTTTGATGTCACTCAGCTGGTTCAGAATTATGCGATGTTGGGATCCACCCAGATGCCTGACTGGCAGCTGGCTCAGCCTCTCAGTGTGCCACTGAGAGCCTAAGCCAGCCGCTCTCAACCCTTCCACAGCCCAACGCTCCAGTGAGTGCTGGAAGAGCATAGAGTCGGAGACTGACAGTCACTCCTCTCTGCTCACTAAAGACCGAGAACCAAGCGATCAGCAGTCTTTGATTGCTCAGTTTTCAGTCTTAGAGCCTGTGGGGGACAGATACAGCATTGGACCAATGCTGCATCTACCTAGGTAAGCATGTACAGATCATACCCCAACTCAGCTGCTCAGTCCATCATTCAGCTCTAAAGACCGAGGCTCAGGCTGGGATGTTCCAATCCAAACAATCCATGGCAAATTATGGCAGCAACTATGCTATGAGTATTCATAAAGCAGAAATTCATTAGCATTCTGTACAACCTGCCATTCTATATGTAGCCAGTAAAGTTCAATAGCAAGAGTACACAGAGTTGCCAGCGTTCTTTATTATGTTTTGATAGATGAATATATGTAGGTTTGGGGTTTTTTTTGTGTGTTTTGGTGCCATGCAGGTCTCCTGCAGACCTGTCAGTATATCTACTTACCCATATATCCTGTATGGGCAAGCAGATATACTGACAGGAAGAACTGGTTAACTTCCTTTCATTGAGAAGCCGCTAAAGCTGTTGGAACTTGTAGTTCATTCACTGAACTGTGAATGAGGCGGCTGTATGGGCGGAACTACTCCCTGTATTGCTGTCACGGGGGGGATTGGGCAGCGGCTGCAGAATTGGGAATGTGTTCCATGTTCCACCCTAAAAACGGGTGGGACATTTAACATGTTCCCAAAGGTAAACTTATCCTTTTTAATATGCAGGTATTTCCTCTCACTTCCTGTTTTGGCTTTGGGACAGGAAGTGAGGGTAAATCTCAATGGGACACAAATGGCAAATAAAAAACTGAAAGGGGTTATAACCCTCCATTACTCTATCCAAAATGATAAAAAAAAAGTTTTGCCTGAAATTCTTCTTTAAGCAGAATTTACATACACAGTGCTGCAACACATGTATGCTGGCCAGGTACATTGGGTGCCATTTAGGATGAACGGCACTGCATTACAGCAGAGCATTAATATGTAGTAAACAGGCCTTCAACATTTTTTTCAACATCTGGCCTTAGATAAGGGCTTATGTATGTGACCGATTAGAACAATAACCCACCCAGGTCAGCGCATTTCTGTGGCACATACTGCAGCAGACACTATCCATGGATTGATTCACAGTGGTGGACATGAACAGTCTGCATTCAAGAGCACATGTCCATTCTTACAGTGTTACTAAAACCCACAACCGTAATATCAGTCTGTATATGCAGTAAAGCATGATTGATTATACTCACTGTGGAACCTAAGTGGTTAATCGTCCGCATTGTGTAAAAATGATGTTTGATCCTGTCTACTCTGATCTTCCCCTGCTTACAGTGCCCCTCTTTTCTCCTGATAAGACAAATTATGTGGAGACACTGTGCACATGCTCAGTTTCTGTTATGGACCACCTGGTGTACTCTAGCAGTCCCCAGGACAGGATTCCCCAGGGCGCGGAGTCTAAGCCCCAGTCCGCTTGTTCACCAGAGCCCCTGATGGTGGGGATGGACTTGGAGCGGACAGTGACCAGGTCGTGGCCCCTGAGTATACCCACCTGAGGTAGAGGAATCACCAGAGGTAATGACAGGTAGAGAGCCTGACGTGAAGAGGCAGACAGGTCTGGAGAGTAGCAGCTAATCCGTGCGGGTCGGATGGATGGCTGAGCAATAGCGTGGTCAAACGGGCCAGGTCGGTAACAGAGGGGTTAGCGTAGTACAAGGCAGCAGGCAGAAGAATAGGTCACTCGCCGGGGTCGGTACCAGTAGTTCAGATCAGGTAGGGATATCCAAAAGAGAGGTCAAACTTAGCCAGGGGTCAGAACAGGAGAAGTCGGCAGAGATCAGGTCCAGGCAGGTCAGCAACGAATCTCAAACAACGGGAACACAGTAACCAGATCAGACCATACGGCAACTTGTGTCTGTGCAGGGCTGATTTAAGTAGCCTGCCCTGCACCTGACAGGTGCAGCCTAGGTCCTAGTGCCTGCCCAGCACCGTCATAGGCGACGGGTGCGCCTGGGTCCTAGTGCCCTGATGCCTGCATGTCTTGACAGACACCTACGCATGTGCAGACCCATGCGTCGCGATGGTCCCTGACAGTTTTGTGTGCATTGCTAGAGTTTTTTTTTATTAATCTTGGGAGAGTGCATGTGATCAGCACAGAGCCAATCGGCACTGTCCAGATAGAGGCCAGGGATACTGCATCCTCCTAGAGCAGAAATAAACTCCTCCTACAAGCTTTAACCAGTGCTCTGCTGGACACTGATAGAAGTCACAAGACTGCTATATACTGCTGATGGGAAAAGGTATTTAATCAGTTTATATTTACTAAAAATAATTGCATTTCCATGTTCTGTGTACTGTGGGAGAGCAGATATAGTGAATGCAGGGTCCGGGGAGAGCGGATATAGTGAATTTGGGGAGACCGGGGAGAGCGGATATAGCGAACGCGGGGTCCGAGGAGACCGGATATAGCGAACGCGGGGTCCGAGGAGACCGGATATAGCGAACGCGGGGTCCGAGGAGACCGGATATAGCGAACGCGGGGTCCGAGGAGACCGGATAGCGAACGCGGGGTCCGAGGAGACCGGATATAGCGAACGCGGGGTCCGAGGAGACCGGATATAGCGAACGCGGGGTCCGAGGAGACCGGATATAGCGAACGCGGGGTCCGAGGAGACCGGATATAGCGAACGCGGGGTCCGAGGAGACCGGATATAGCGAACGCGGGGTCCGAGGAGACCGATATAGCGAACGCGGGGTCCGAGGAGACCGGATATAGCGAACGCGGGGTCCGAGGAGACCGGATATAGCGAACGCGGGGTCCGAGGAGACCGGATATAGCGAACGCGGGGTCCGAGGAGACCGAGGAGACGCGAACGCGGGGTCCGAGGAGACCGATATAGCGAACGCGGGGTCCGAGGAGACCGGATATAGCGAACGCGGGGTCCGAGGAGACCGGATATAGCGAACGCGGGGGGTCCGAGGAGACCGGATATAGCGAACGCGGGGTCCGAGGAGACCGGATATAGCGAACGCGGGGTCCGAGGAGACCGGATATAGCGAACGCGGGGTCCCGGATATAGCGAAACGCGGGTCCGAGGAGACCGGACGCGGGGTCCGAGGAGACGCGAACGCGGGGTATAGCGAACGCGGGGTCCGAGAGAGACCGGATATAGCGAACGCGGGGTCCGGTGGAGAGAGAGCGGACATAGCGAACGCGGGGTCCGGTGGAGAGAGAGCGGACATAGCGAACGCGGGGTCCGGTGGAGAGAGAGCGGACATAGCGAACGCGGGGTCCGGGAGAGAGCGGACATAGCGAACGCGGGGTCCGGTGGGAGAGACATAGCGAACGCGGGGTCCGGTGGAGAGAGAGCGGACATAGCGAACGCGGGGTCCGGTGGAGAGAGAGCGGACATAGCGAACGCGGGGTAGCGGACATAGCGAACGCGGGGTCCGGTGGAGAGAGAGCGGACATAGCGAACGCGGGGGTCCGGTGGAGAGAGAGCGGACATAGCGAACGCGGGGAGAGAGAGCGGACATAGCGAACGCGGGGTCCGGTGGAGAGAGAGCGGACATAGCGAACGCGGGGTCCGGTGGAGAGAGCGGACATAGCGAGCGGGGTCCGGTGGACGGACATAGCGAACGCGGGGTGGAGAGAGAGCGGACATCGAACGGGGGTGGTGGAGAGAGAGCGGACATAGCGAATAGCGAACGCGCGGGGTCCGGTGGAGAGAGAGCGGACATAGCGAACGCGGGGTCCGGTGGAGAGAGAGCGGACATAGCGAACGCGGGGTCCGGTGGAGAGAGAGCGGACATAGCGAACGCGGGGTCCGGTGGAGAGAGAGCGGAGCGAACGCGGGGGTCCGGTGGAGAGAGAGCGGACATAGCGAACGCGGGGGTCCGGTGGAGAGAGAGCGGACATAGCGAACGCGGGGGTCCGGTGGAGAGAGAGCGGACATAGCGAACGCGGGGTCCGGTGGAGAGAGCGACATAGCGAACGCGGGGTCCGGTGGAGAGAGAGCGAACGAACGCGGGGGGTCCGGTGGAGAGAGAGCGAGACATAGCGACGCGGGGTCCGGTGGAGAGAGAGCGGACATAGCGAACGCGGGGTCCGGTGGAGAGCGACATAGCGGACACATAGCGAACGCGGGGTCCGGGAGAGAGCGAGCGGACATAGCGAACGCGGGGTCCGGTGGGAGAGCGGACATCGAACGGGGGTCCGGTGGAGAGAGCGGCGGACATAGCGAACGCGGGGGGTCCGGTGGAGAGAGCGAGCGGACATAGCGAACGCGGGGGTCCGGTGGAGAGAGAGCGGACATAGCGGGGGTCCGGTGGAGAGAGAGCACATAGCGAACGCGGGGTCCGGTGGAGAGAGAGCGGACATAGCGAACGCGGGGTCCGGTGGAGAGAGAGCGATAGTAAATGCAGGGATGAAAACTCCTACAAGCTTTAACCAGTGCTCTGCTGCACACTGATGGAAGTTACATGACTGCTCTAACTACTACGATGAGTTGTCACTTTCGGTGGGAGACCAGATATAGTGAATGCAGGGTCCTGTGTTTAGTAACACTTTAATGTTCCCTATAACATAGCAGTTGTTGACTTTTTAAGTTCAGGTCCACTTAAAGCCGTTGTCTTTCTTGTTTCAGGGATGCTTCCATCGTAGTGACCGCATCTGGAGATCACAAAGCAAAAGTGTTCTGCGTGCAGAGACCCGACCGCTAACTGGGGTGGCATCAGCACCCGTCCACTGTACAGGGCAATCGTTGTGTCTCTCTCTCTTTTTCTCTCTCTGAAAGGCTTGGAGCTGTTAGCTGTCTTCTTTACTTATATGTGTGGATGCAATTTAATCTCTCCAGACCGGCGTATGCGGATGCGCATGTACATGTTCACACTAACTTGGGGAGGAGAAAGAGGCTGATGCTTTTGGCTCCAAAAAAGGCCACGCGACCCAAATGACATAATTTCCATAGACTGGCCGTGTGTGTAAGTGGCGTTACCAACATTCACGGATAAATACTTCCACGTATTTTCAGGAGATTTTCAGAACAGAGGATACTTAAAGCCAAGGTGGTGTAGTGGGGGAGCCATACTTTAAACAAACGGCTGACTTCCTGTCCCGTAGTTCCGTAGAACAACCGACTGTTGGTTTTTGCGGGAGCTAACGCAGAACATTAGGGTATATAATGCAAAGGTCAAAGATCTCAATTTCTAGACTGGAATGGGTATTTTTACATCCGTAACCCGGAGTGTTACTAGTCACTATTTCACATAACGCACATTTTTTTTTCTTCTTTTTTTTTATGGGGGCACATTGGTGATGTAAAGACTGGCTACCGCCATGTTTTAAAGACACCATGATCAGAGGTGTTTTTGTCAAAGTGTACCTGTCATTTTGATTAACTAAATCATCTTTTAGTGATACATTAGGCTCTGAGAAACGCAAATGGGCAACTCCACTGTGATTTATACATTTTGCTTTCTGTTGGATTTATAATCTGGAACCCGATTCTCCACATCTTAAAGTGCCTCCGTCACGCGAATAAACATCTAGGTGTGCCAGCACATTTTTAGTGACCCTGATGGTCTCTACAGCTTTACTCACCAGCTGCACAAGGTGGCATATTCTCAGTATTGCAGTGGCCCGTTTCTAACTTTCCTCATTTTTTTTTTTTTTTTTTTTAATCAGTGCTGCAGCCTCAGGAAAGGTTTTCAGTTTGCGACTTTTAATGCCCATGTCCCCCACTGTGCACTGGTTCCTACCCATGTTACCACTGAGCCCTGTAGTGACCTAGGGGGTCAAAGGAAGGAACCAGTGCACAGTGGAGGGGGAGCACAGGCATCCCCAGCACTGCCAGAAGTGTTGAATGCCAAAGTAGCTGGAATTAAGAGTTAGAAGAAACATGCCGCTGTTTAGTTGGGTATATGTGATCGTCTTTTGGAGGGGAGTAAAATCTTTTCAGGTACATGCACACGGCTGCAAGAGATCCCTACAGGTGTGGTATGGCTCCAGTAGTTGCCTGCAGTGTTTCCTAGACTTGAAGAGCCCATTCTGGAGCCTCTTATCAGCTTTCAACCGCTTTAAAGTACAGGCGTACCTCGGTTTACGAATTTAATGCATTCTCCGGGACTTTTCGCATTGCGAAATATTTGTGAACCGAAACATGGTTTCCCATAGGAATGCATTGAAAACCAATTAATCCGTTCCCGAGGTCAGAAAAATGTAAAAAAAAAAAAGTCGTTTGTGTCGGTTTTTAAATGTAATTACCACTTCTTTTTTTTTTTTTTTTTTTTTTTCACTATAGCTCAGAGAATCAGCTGTCACTTTCCCCCCAGCGAAAAGAAAGAAAGTTTCCTAGTTTATTTCTGGAGTTAAAAGAAACAGTTTCCTTTTAGTTTCTTAAAAGAAACAATGTTTCCTTTAGCTCTAGGGAAAGCTAATTCTGTGAGCTGTAGTGAAGAAAAAAAAAAAGCCGGCAATTGCATTTAAAAATCAACACCGACATACATTTTTTTTTTTTCGGAATACGAAGTGTATGTCAGTGTTGATTTTAAATGCAATTGCCGGCTTTTTTTTTCTTCACTACAGCTCACAGAATTAGCTTTCCCTAGAGCTAAAGGAAACTTTTTTTCTTTTAAGAAACTAAAAGGAAACAGTGTTTCTTTTAACTCGGTGGAAAATACTTTTTTTTTTTTTTTTTTTTCCGGAATACGAAGTGTATTTTCCCGAGTTAAAAGAAACAAAGTTTCCTTTAGCTCCGGGGAAAGCTAATTCTGTGAACTATAGTGAAAAAAAAAAAGGCGGCAATTGCATTTAAAAATCAACACCAACATACACTTCTTATTGCAAAAAAAAAATCGTAAACCGAGGCATTATTTTGAATGGATTTTCGTTTTGTAAACAGAAAATTACGACAAACCGAGGCGTTCGTAAACCGCGATACACCTGTAAACCGCGATACACCTGTATAACTAAAGGCAAAACTTTTCTTTTTTAGTTTTGGATAGAGTGTAGAGGGATTAAAACCCCTGTCAGTTTTTATCCCGTTGGGGAGATTCACTCTTCCTAGTTGTCCTGTTTACCATCATCATCAAAAGTAAAAGAAAATCCCACATTTTGGGTTGTCCCCAGACAAGTAATAGAGGAGAAATCTTCCAATGGGGACACTAGTTCTGGTGACCTGGGGGAACCCAAGGGATTCTCTTAATTTGCAGGGATTTCCTCTCACTTCTTGTTTTGGCTGTGGGTCAGGAAGCGAAGGGAAATCTCCCCAATGGGACACAGATGGCAAAATTTATAAAAACAAAAAAAGAAAATTGCATTTAGTTCTACTTGAAGGGTTACATACACACAGCCACTGTGGAGGGGAGTCTTTTGCAGGCGAGTAAATCTTTTAGGGTACATGCACACGGCTGTGTGAGGGCCACACACTGTACATTTGGGTGTCATTCTTTGGTTAGGAATCACAGGTGCAGTGTCAAAATAAATGACAGGCTGAGGGCATCACAATCGTCCCTCTATGCAAGTATTGCTTGGATCTGCCTATACCAGTGTGCAGACGCTGTGTATTACAGCCTGTTGTTGATTTGGACAGGCTGCTGGCAACGGGTTGAATGCTGCACCTGTGAGTCCGGGGCAGGGAAGTACCCCCGAATGTATGCTTTGCTGCCATGTGCAGTGGTGTATTTAGGTTTTGTGCTGCCCTAGGCATCACAAAAATTGGCCCCCCACACAGAAAGAGCCTGACATTGACCAAGAACACCCCTGCCCTCCACTACCACTGCCCCCCATACACCAGCCACCATCCCCCTTGGCGAGAGAGAGAGAGACTCCCCTTCACAGCTCCGGACATCCCCAGGAACAAGAATCGGGCTGTGCATACACCGTCATGAAACCCACAGCATCTCTCGGAACCCACCAGGTCCCCATGCCGTGTGTGTGTGTCCCTTCTGTCTCTTCTTCCAAGGGGCAGCGCTGCCCCCCCTGAAAAAATGCCACCCTAGGCAAATGCCTTGTTAGCCTTGTGGTAAATACACCCCTGGCCATGTGCCCTAAACGATTTGAACCCTTGAAAGGGAAAACCTCATATACTCGCCTCTACAGTGGCTGTGCGCATGTTCCCTTAAAGATCAACTCCGCTTTTGTTTGAGTGGAAAGAAAAACCCAACAAAAACACTCCCCTCTGAGTGATCCATGTACATTGCAGGGATTTTACCAAACTTTGTTGCAGTTTCCTACTTTTTTGTTATTCTGAAGAAATTGCTGTTTTGTCTGTGTCCATGTACAAAATGAATGTAAATGAGAGTGATTTTATAATTATCAGCTGCTGCACTTGCAAAGTTCTAATGAGGGGTAAGTGTCGGGGTCTGCATCCTTTTTTAGATGTGATTTCCCTTTTGGGAGTCTCTCACCAAAACCGATATTTTTGTTGCAGGGGATGCCCAAAATCTGACTTAGATTTTCTTAAATCTTCGTGCAGAAATCACAAAAGCAGGAAATGACATTTCTGAGAATGATCTATATACCATCTGTGTACAGACCGCCTCCAGGTCGCCATATTGCATTTTACAGACAGCGGCTGCAGATTGAAAAGGAAAGGTCATTTTTAATAACGTTCAATTACAACATGAATTGTATAGCAATTGTACATAGTATATTATTTTTTATTTGCTATTTTCTTTTTCATGAAAGTGGAGTTACCCTTTAAAGCTGTAGAGAGCGGATTAGAGGCTCCAGAATGCCCAGGGAGTACTGTATACGTCCACTGACGTGCTACACCTCACGGGGTGAGTGGCTGAGCCTGGGCTTTGGAAGGAAGCCAAAAGCCAAAGCAACACAGCTGCCCGGGCACACAGATTAATGTACATCGCAGGCACTTCAAGGTCTTTAGCTCCTCCAAGTGACAGGTTTGCTTTAAGAGATGAAAGTGTTTAATTTTGCTTTGGCAGATATATGTATGAAATCAGTTTGTTAAATAAAAGGGCTGTCTATAATCCTGCTTTGTGGCAATAAGGTGCTCAGGAATTGTGTCGTACGACAAACACTGTCCGTTATATTTGCTTTCTCTGTTGATCTCGAAGAGAAAAACTTTGTTCTGCAGTCCAATTAGGGAATCTGCCTCCAGTAATAATCAATATATTGGGAGGAGGGGAGTTGCTGGGTTTTGGTTATTAACTCTCAAGTTTATATATTTTATAACCGAAACACTCAGACGTTTGTTTAGAGACCTCCAGGCATAACCGATCCCTTTTTATGGGCTCATGTATGCAGAAGTTTATGACCATACACCACTCAGATCAGCGTATTTCTGCAGTCGGTATGAACAGGATTTCTGATGGGTCATCTATGGGAAGCCTGTACAAATCAATGATGGGCTGACCCTGTCCATGGCTGGTTGCAATGAAGCAATGACTGGCGCTTAAAGTGTTACTAAACCCCAGACCCTGCCCGTTTCACTATATCCGGTCTCCCCACCCTGCGTTCACCCTCGTGCGTTCACTATATCTATATCCGCTCTCTCCCGGACCCTGCGTTCACTATATCCGCTCTCCCCCGGACCCTGCGTTCACTATATCCGCTCTCCCCGGACCCTGCGTTCACTATATCCGCTCTCCCCGGATATCCCTGCGTTCACTATATCCGCTCTCCCCGGACTCTGCGTTCACTATATCCGCTCTCCCCGGACTCTGCGTTCACTATATCCGCTCTCCCCGGACTCTGCGTT